ACAGCCTCTCCAACATTTGTCATTTGTGGATTTTTGAATGACGGCCATTCTGACTGATGTGAGGTGATACCTCACTGTAGTTTTGATTTGCATTTCTCTGATAATTAGTGATATTGAGCATTTTTTTCATGTGCTTTTTGATCATTTGTATGTCTTCCTTGGAGAATTGCTTATTTAGGTCTTCTGCCCATTTTTGGATTGGGTTGTTTATTTTTTTCTTATTGAGTCGTATGAGCTGCTTATATATTCTGGAGATCAAGCCTTTGTCAGTTTCACTTGCAAAAATTTTCTCCCATTCCGTAGGTTTTCTTCTTGTTTTACTTCTTGTTTCCTTTGCTGTGCAGAAGCTTGTAAGTTTCATTAGGTCCCATTTGTGAAAAACAAACAATTGATACATGCAGCATGTGTGAATCTAAAAATTACCACACTGAGTGAAATAAGCCAGGCAAAAGAGAGTACACACTGTATGTTCTATTGATTTTCTTTCCTTCATGCCCCCTCACTCTACGTGCTTTGCTCTCCAGTGACAAAAAACCCTATGAACAGTGATAGAGCTAAAGTAAATTTTCAGTTCCTGAACTCTATTCCACATTTTAGTGCTTCTGAGAAATTCTGCTGAAATATTTATCTTCACTGTTTATTTCCCAAATTCCCAAGCTCACACTTCCAATAGTGGTCCCAAAAGAATTCTAGTCAATAAATCAGATATGAAATTGTCCAGGCAACACACTAGGTGTATTTCCCATATTTCTGGGTTGATGAACTGAAGCTCTCACTACCCTCCAGCAGCCAGAGTCTCAGGATGGTTAAGTAGGCAGATACTGTTGTCAACTTGAACAGCAAACCAAAGTACCCGGCTTCTCCACCCCCAACCACTAAAGGTGCCTCCAGTTCTTCCTGTTGCCTCTCATCTTGTTAGTTACAGTCTTGGTTGAAGGAAGAGCGAGGCTTCCTTGAGGTCAAATAAAGCTCCTTCAATGTTGGCCATGGAGGGAGAATCAGAGGGTGGCAGTCCATCCCCTGGTCACTGAGATTCATCTTCATCTTTAGGGTTCCTGGGGGGGACTCCATGTCCCACAACAACAAAAGCTTAAGTGAGGATGGATAACCCTTCCTTAGCAGCAAAGCTGAGACAAGGCCATGCCACTCAGACGAGGCTTTGCTGGAGTCAGGGATAACCTAGGGAAGACAAATATGAAAGGTAGCGTGAAGCTGGGTGGTGTGGCTCCCCAGTTCTGGATGCTCCGAGAAGCTCCGCATTTATGTTTCTGTTTTCCTCTAGATGATGGGCTCTGTCCCTGCTCCCCAGCCAGAAGCCCACACATAGTCATCAACCCTCCCAAGTCCAGACTGCAGCGAGCTCCATGAGATGCAGAGGTCCCTTATCTGTCTTCGTAGAGACAGGAAGTTTCTATTTCCTTTCCTATAAACTCTTTCTTTCAATTATTGACATTGGGACTGCCAGCCACTGGCACCGCCTTTAGGGAAAATCTCATGTAGCCAGGTGGCCTATCAGGCCTCCCCATAAGGGCTGTGTTAGTACTTAGCACAATAGGTTCAACATTCATTGCCCTAACACAGGCACCCACAGATCCAGGGCCGTATCACACAGGACAGAAGAGTAACAGGGAGTGGCCTGACGAGAACAATGTCTACATCACCAAACCAGCAAGTCTCACACTTTATCAGCTCCGGGGGACAAAGGCGCTCACATTGACGTTTATATCCCATAAACACTGAATTCCTTTACAATGGCACATTCCCCCTCCTATCCCCCTAAGCAGTCAGAGTGCTACCGTTGCCTGGGACTTCTCTGCACAGACGTTCCCAGGACTTCCAATTGCGAGCATAGCCTTGACTTTGGGGTCAGGCCAGATTGTCCTCACAGCTTGTCTGGTGTGGGTGTCGGGGGCTCAGACCTGTCCATGGAGTGAATTTATCCCAATTCTCCAGCAGCCGTTGTGGGACAAGTTACTGCACAACTCTGCTGTCTCCAGGGAAGTTCCAGCCAGGACACTGCACCTTCTCCCCGAGGACCCTCGGGCTTCCCTGTGTCTCTGGCATTGCAGACTCATCTCCCTCGACACCTCCCTCGGGAGCTGGGTCTCTTTGGATCTGTTAGGTAGTTAGATAAGTGGGGACACTGGGCAGTTAAGGTGGAGGAGATGGAAGATGGTCCGGAGGATGGCAATATGCCCACCTTCAGCATAAAGGGGCTTTATTTCTTCTATATATGAGTGCCAGAAAGAAACCAGTTAGAACTCATGACAGCTGAAACTGTGCGGTGGTGACAAGGACCTAACAGGGTATGACCCCCATGCTTGTGTAATATTATTAGCATTGCAGTTCAGCACCCCCCCAAGGGTTTTTCTGTGTGCATCACGGGTAAGGACATCCGCAAAAGGGATTGAGCATGACTAAGCACTCCAGGGGCAGGAGCCATCAATCAATCAAGAGACCAATTCTAAGCGAGGGTCTAAGAGAAGAGGACAAACAAAGACCACTGCTATCTGCCCTTGAATCAGCCCACCTCCCATTCTTGGAAGTGTACTTTCACTTTGCTAAATAAAATCTTTAAAATCTTTTGCCATCCAACACTTCCATCTCCCATCTGAATTCTTCTCTTTCAGTTAAAATAAGAACCGTGGGCTTTTTCCTTTGGGTAATAGATCCATCGTTAAGGGATGTCACAAAGGCAATCTGCCTGAACGCTGAAAGGTTATTGTTACTGCTTTTTTTTTTTTTAACCAAAAGACATATTTCTTCCCCACTGGGCTCATGCATGCTGCCAATGTGTTATGTCAAGGTGGGATCCAGTGTAAGCTGGATGTTTTGACACTGCCCTTAATGTCCTCATTTGTAAGGTAATTTTACTTGTTCTTTCCAGCAACCTGACCTCGGGTGGTCTTCTCTATGTACCAGCTACATTTTTACCTCTGAACCTCAGTGAAGAGGGGAAAGAGCTCATTTTCTTGGGTCCTTCTCTCCTCCCAACCCTCTCTGCACCCTTCTAAATTCATGGAAGTACACAGACCCTGGGGAAAGGACCATAATCTAATTCCTCTGGCAAATGCCCACAAGCTTTGTCACCAAACAAAACTCATGTACCTGACACACTGTGAGGCCAAACAAACCAAAACGTCAGAGTTTGGGGCAGAGAAAGG